CTCTGTGGTTTGATATCGACAATCCTGTTGTTCGCCAGACCGTGCGAGGGTGGGTGCGAGGCGGGGTCGCCTCGGCCGTCTGGATCGCTCTGCCGCGTTCATCCTGGAGCCAGGCCAGACACGGGCCGCCCGGCTCTTCTTGGTGCGCTATCCGATCAAAGAACCACGTCTGGGGGTTGCCCAACCCTGCAGCCAGGCCGCAGGCGGCCGTCGACCTCGGGAACCTACAGCTCCGATTCGCCCCGGGCCTGATCTCGCTGTGTCGCGCTCTCGGGGCCCCCGTCTACCTCGAGAACCCAGGAGGTTCATGGGTCTGGAATACACTTGCGATGACAGCCCTGTTGGAGGCCAGCGACGCCGTGTCTTCCGACGTCGACACGTGCTTTTTCGGGGCCCGCTGGAGGAAGTTCACGCGCGTGGCCTGCTGGGCCCGTCACCACCCTGGCGTTCTCGTGAGGCCGCGGTGCAGTTGTAGACAGGGCCTCTGTTCTTTGTTTCTGGTAAGCCCCACATAGTCCTCTCTGGCCTTGACCCTGTTTCTGGGATCTTGTGGACCCTCCCTGCCGAACCTTATCCTGTCAAGTTCTGTAACTACTTCCCGAGTTAATTGCAAAGCAAGCAGGATTTCAAGGTTTCAAGCGTTTGGTTTCCTTCGCCTGCCCTGTCTCTGCTAAGTACCCCAGGTAATGTTCTTCGTGCTCCTTTTTAGGTTTGTGTACTTTCGGCGCCGTCTTGCCGTCGCCACTTCTCCTCTCGGGCTCGGGTCTCCTCCTCGGTGTTGTGTGGGTGCGTTGGGTCCTCCTCCTCTTCTCTCTCTGCCGTGTGTCTCGTTCGCTCGCTGCTGCGCCTTCGGTGGAATCGCCCGTGGCGCCCGCCACACAGAAATGGGTAGGGTGTCTTGGGGTGTAGCAGGAGATGGCCGTGTTTGCACATCTCATCTCAGGTGGAATTGAAGACCGTCGTGGTCACGCATATCGCCGCGACCGCATCGGGTCAAGTCTTTTGGTGGCCCACCCTCCTCTCCCACTTCCTTGGGTCTCCTCCTCGGTGTTGTGTGGGTGCGTTGGGTCCTCCTCCTCCTCCTCCTCCTCCTCCTCCTCCTCCTCTTCTCTCTCTCTGCCGTGTGTCTCGTTCGCTCGCTGCTGCGCCTTCGGTGGAATCGCCGGGGACGCCCGCCATACAGAAATGGTTAGGGTGGCCTGGGGTGTAGCAGGAGATGTTGATAACGATGATGATGACGATGATAACGATGATGCTAACGATGATGGTATTGATCATGATGATGATGACGATGATGATGTTGTTGGTGATGATGATGCTGGTGATGCTGATGATGAGGATGATGATGATGAGGATGATGATGTGAATGGCGATGATGGTGACTGATGATTGTGGGTTATGATTGTTGAGCGATGACGGACGAATGGTGGTAATGAGTGGTGGTAATGATCGTGATGACGATGACGATGATGACCATGATGATGACCATGATGATGATGATGATGATGATGATGATGATGATGATGATGATGATGATGATGATGATGCGGATGATGATGATGATGCTGGTGATGATGGTGATGGTGGTATTAATATGGCTTAATTGATTTTAATGTCAATGGGCCCTACGCACACTCACCGTTGCCCAGCGCTGTGGCGGACACTTCCGCTCTGACTGTCGGAAACCAGGCGTGCCCGCGGTCGCGGCCGCGGACGCCGCTTGACGTCATCGGGCAGATGGACGAGTTTCTGCAGGAGGTGGTGTTGCCCCATGGTGGTCGGGCAACAGAACTCGCATCCGAGTTGACCATCAGGCTGCGGGAGTTGCCCCTGGCGGACGGGGTGCACGGCTCGACCGGCAACATGCTCTGGCACTCGGGCGTGGTGCTCGCGCGGGAGCTGCTGCGGCGGCCAGACGTGATTCGAGGCAAGCGCATCGTCGAGCTCGGCGCCGGGTGCGGGTTGCTTGGCATCGCCGCCGCGAGCCTGGCGAGCTACGCGCTGCTCACTGATGGCGACGAGGAGGCAGCCGACAATCTCGCACACAACGTGAGGCTGAACGAGCACGTGTGGCGCAGCATGGGCGGCGATACCAGCCCTACCTGCGAGGTGCACACGCGCTGCCTCTCGTGGCAGGACGCGGTGGACAGCCCCATATTCGCCACGGAGGAGGAGCTCGGGGAGCAAACGCTGACATCAACGTGAATTTTCGGAGGTCCACGCTGATTTCTCGGGTCGGCGCTGGACTCTTCTCCCTGGCGCGAGGAGCACGCCAGGGGCGGCGCCGGATGCGCCGCCAGCGCCAAACCGAGAAATCCGCGCGGATCTCCGAAATCTCACGCTCCCCTAGAGGAGCGGGCCGACGTGGCCTTGGGGTCCGACATCATCTACGGGCATTGGGGCGACGACGTGGCAAAGGCCATGCTTTCCATGCTGAGGGCTGGTGGTCTCATCTTCTTGGCGTCTTCAGAGGATCGCCGCAGTGGCATCCCGGCCTTCCAGAGGCACCTCCGGGAGCGTGGCTTCAGGGTCGAAGAGACCAAGCTGGAAACTCCCCTAGGCACCTTCCGGATCTACGAATGCCGTGCGCGCCTTGCTGGGGAGCCCCAGGAGGACCCAGAGGTCTGCGAGCGCGTCGAGAGCGAGCCCTCGGAGGGCAGCGTCCGTCTTGCAGGCCTGGCCGCCTCGGCTGCGGCCGCGGCGGTGCCATCCGGCTGAGCTGGTTCACCGGCCCTGCGTTCTGGCGCAGGCCGCGGGCATGGCTGCTGGCGCGGAACAGACGTTCGCCCCTCCCTCCATCCTTCGTGTTGCTGCTCCTCCTCTATCAGTCTGCCCCATCATCCTGCTCCCCTCATTCCCCTTTCTCCCGAGTTATTCAATGATACCATACCTTCCCCACCTCAGTCAGATTCCACGCCACGGGGCCACGTTCAGTATACAAAAAAACACGCCCCAGGGAGGGAATTCTGTCTTCCAGATCCACGACCAGGACCCTCGCCGCCACCCAGGGCGTTTGGTCATAGTGTACATTGTACACTATGATCAAAGAGTCAGCCCGAAGGACTTGTAACAAGTCCTTCGGGCTGACTCTTTCATCTAACTACTGCGTAAGCTATCGTCAGGTTGAGGACCGCGGCTGCGGTGATCCGCTGCGCTTTGCCTCTGCGTCGGGCTTCAGCTTGGGTCGGTTTCCCATTCCGCGCTCTGTTAACCGATCTGGTCTGTCCTCGTTTCTCTCGGTTCCCCCTCCACTTCGCCCTCTTCTCCTCCGCTTCGCCCTCCGCCGCCGTCGCCGCCTCCGCCACCATCGCCGCCGCCGCCGCTGCCTCCGCCGCCACCTGTCTGTTCCTCCCTCCTCGTCCTCCTTCCTCGTCGGCCTCCGCCCTCCTTGTCCTCCTCCTCCACCTCTTCCTCCTCCTCCTCCTGCTCCTCCTCCTCCTCCTCCCCCTCCTCCGCCTCTTGCTGCCATCTTGGCCCAAGAGATTGTCAGGGCAGCGCGCGCAGAGTCGCAGACATTACACAGATCGTGATGCGAGAATAGGGTGGTGACGGCCCTCATGGCAGCAGCTGCAAGGAAAATCCCTCCTGCTTTGCTCGTCAAACATCCGATCAGCATGCACAGCGTGCCCGCTGGAAGGCCGTGGCGCCATGCAGCGCCGTACACTTCGAGCTCACAGAAACGAGCACCAGCTGTACTACATCACCACCTCGAGGACCATGAAGGGGCACGACGCGAAAAACACCGACAGCTCTTACACGACGCTCGGGAAACAACAGAGCTTTACAAGCCAGTACAAGAAGCTGGACACCAAGGACACCACGACGCACGACAAGCAAAAGGGCTTCGCAGACAAGATCACGAAGAGGGACACCACCACGCACGAGGAGCTGCAGAGCCTCGCAGACTAGGATGCGACCCTGGGCACCAACACCAAGGACACCGCGACGCATGAACTGCAGCAGAGCTTCGCGGACCATGCCAAGGCGCTGGACATCAAAGCCCGAGGTGCACGAGCAGAAGAGCGTCGACGACCAGGAGCAGCAGAGCTTCGCGAATCAGGACAAGGCGCCAGACACAAAGGACACCGCGACGCACGAGGAGCAGAAGAGCGTCATAGACCAAGGAACGACGCTGGGCAAGAAGGAATCCACGCCCCGCGAGGGCGCGACGATGAGCAAGTGGGACGCCGCGACGCACGAGCAGCAGCAGAACTACACCAACCAAGACGCGACGCTGGGCACGGAGGGCACCACGGTCTGCGGAGAGTGCCAGAACTCCGCAGACCATGAGAAAGCGGTGGGCACGAAGGACACCGCGGCACACGAGACCCAGCAGAGCTACGACGACCAGGACACGACGCTGAGCACGCAGGGGCGCGAAGATTACAAGGATGCGACTTTGCACGAGATGCCGCGCGGATTCCTCGACCTTGTGTACGATTGCGTGAAGAAGCGAATCTTGGAGGGCTACGTAATCACGGGCTCGAGTCTGTACGCCAGGTTCGACGAGTGGCTCGAGGAGGCACTCGCAGCTTCGATTGCCCTGCACGTCTTCAAACAAAACGACATCGGACACAGATTTCGGATAATCACACGACATGGAAATTTGCAGGGAGATATCGTCAGCGCAGATGAGGAGCAGAACGACGCCGGGAGCGTCGAAGCGACGGATACTGACGCAGAGCGGGAGGAAGTTCCTGGAAGAGCAGCCACCCTGCCCGCGGCCCTCTGCTTGGGGGAATATGGCGCAGGCGGGGCCAGAGCACACAGTAGCGCAAGCGGCCCCCGAGACCTAGACGAAGTGACTACAGCTAGGCCAGATTCGATTTTTGAACGCTACGATGCTCCAGTCGAGGTAGTGTAGCACAGAGCCGGCCCCAGAGCACGATCGATCGATCGATCCTCCTCTTCTTCCTCCTCTGCCTCCATTTCCTCCCCCTCCTCCTCCTCCTCCTCCTCCTCATCATCATCATCATCATCCTCCCCTTCTCCCCCTTGAGGCTTCTACGAATCTGCTGGAGCACTCGTCGCCTCCGCGCGCGCCGAGACCGGCTGCGCGTGCTTCAACGTGCGCCGGGCGCGCCAGACCCGCCTGTTTGCCGAAGCCTTTGGGACGAGTTGCGTCATAGCCGCGAGAGGTCTTTAACGTTAACGGGGCCCCCTTGGTAGCTTCCGTCTGGCAATTCGATTAGTTATTCCCCTCCTCGTACTTCCCCTCATCATCATGACTACCATTATCTTCACCACCACCGTATTCATCATCAGCATCATCATCATCACGATCAGTGGTCCTCCTCCCACCCCTCCAGCATCAGCGGTGGCCGCCGCGGGGGAATTATTATTCTTATTCTCCCAATATTGTCGGGGCCCCGATCCGTCATCAGTCCCGCTCCAAAAAGCTTGGTACTGGGGGTGCTAACGACCGATCGCGGTTATTCCTAATCAGACAACATGTTAGGGACCCGGGCAATGACTAGGGCGATGATGTGGATGGCGATGTGGGTTAGTTTGGCACGGATGGTGGTAGTGGTGGTGGTTGTGGTGGCAATGATGTTGATATCGATGGTGATTGTCTTAGATTCGGTCACTGCGCGGGGCGCTTGCCACTTGATAGTTACGAGGTCATGACAACTTGCGTTTTGCAGCATTAGCAGAGTTGCAAGCTGCTGAAAAGGCCAGCCCATGTACCAGCAGTTGGTCCATTAGTACATGTGTTCTCCTCGCGAAAGTATGAACTCGTGTTTGCTTGCATTGTGGGATTTATCAGCATCATCATTGAGGACGGTTGTAATTGCCATAGTTGTGATGATTGTGATGGTTGTGATGCTGCCGATGCTGAATAACGTTAGTCTGGTGGTAGCGATGACGCTGACGACAACAGGTGCTACGATGATGGATGTGGTGATTGAAATGGTGGTGATGACGATTCACAACCCCAGTGGGTTGGAGCTTGATTCGACGCCTTGCCATTCTCGGCCAGCTGTCAGGAACAGGGTGTTCACCCATTTGGGTCGTGTGCTGCCAAGTCCCTTCGTCAATTCGGAGTAATCGGGCCAGCCCCGAATATATTAAGCCCAAACCTCTGCGGGCTGGTATTCCGGGATTCGCAACCAATCCAGATTTGCTACATGGATGTCGAATGCTGAGGCGCAACCTTGGCCAACACGCCGCCGTAGAACATGGAACGTGACCTGGGCCAGGCTACAAGCCGTCGCACTAGCAGGATCTCACAGTCCGCCCGAATTTGGCCAGTCTTCGAGGACACGAACTTGCCGAGGCGACGCAGGCGCATCCACGCAAGTGATGGACTGCGGCGATAGCCCCCTTGGCCACAGTGGGACGGGCAAGTCAACGACTGCTCTCATATGGGACTTTGCCATGATTGCCACTGGACCGATTGATGCGCGATGCTGCCCGGAATGCCAGGGCAGTGGCCCCACCAGGCGCCCCCGCGAGTCCACTCGTTATCCGCTCTGGGCACCCCGAACCTCCGGGCTGGCCTGTCAAGGCTCTGACATTGTGTTGGTTGGGCTGGTGGTCCAATTCGAGACAGCGGTACCCACGTCTAGACGATGATAGCCAATGCCCCAAACAAGAACCGCTGCCCCTCCAGAGGCCCCTCCGAAGAAGACTTTCAGCTGGTACAGCGGGTACTTCCAGAAGGCATCATCGCTATCTAAAAGACGCGACCTAACTTCTGCATCACACTATCTCTAATTCTTGGCATGGGATTGATCACGCTCGGCTTCCCAAAGAAGCAGTGCGAGGAGCGTTGACCTCTAGTCAGCTACCCATCGGGCCATGTCGCATCATGAACCAAGCAATACAGACTGCTGGTTGAACCACTTGCTCTGAATGGTTTGGATTGTGATTTTGCAGCGCTAGCCTCGGAAGAACTTTGCTGCCGATGGTCGGGCTCGTCGCCTTCACCCCATGATGATGTAGGTGTCGATGATGATGCTGCTGCTGATGATGATGACGGTGATGGTGATGATGATAGTGCTCCTCATGATGACTGTGATGATGAGGACGAGGATGAGGATGATAATTAGGACGAGCAAGAGGATGAGGATGAGGATGAGGATGAGGATGAGGATGGTGAGTTCCTTCTGGCACTGAAGCGCCGAAACACTGCATGACCAAAGTAGCACCAACATCAGATTTCCCAGGAGTTGGACTGGGCGCGGCGCGTATCGGACGAGTCGCAGCAGCTGGTCATGGTGCACCAGGACAGATGGGATCTCCGACGAACGAGAATCAGGGGTTGGGCCAACGCGGGAGAGTGGATCACGCAGCAGCTGGAGCAGAAAAAGGAGAGAGGAGGAGGAGGAGGAGGAGGAGGAGGAGGAGGAGTTCCAGGATTTCCGCCATCCCGTAGGGATAAAAGGCTAAGCTCAGTGTGACCAGCTTTGGGAAACAAGTTCCTAGAAATCCGATCGAGGTATTCTCGTCGGGTCTTGGAGATAGGAATACTGCACGGCTTACCTAAGCCCCTGAGCTGGGCCTGACCATACAAACCACATGTGCCGCAGTACCATATCTTCAGAGTACGGTGATACATTAGGGCGTATGAGGGGTCGACCCAGCCACCTGCGTGATGCAACCTACGCCCTCGGGGTAGACGGGATAACCTACCACTCACGGGTTGGAGTTGGAAGCACTCACTTTTTAGCCAGTCGGACAAACACGCTTTGATCGCCGAGCGTTTACACACGCTGCACGATCCCCCACTTTCGGCCAGGGCGTGCGCGGACGCGAAGCGTGCAACAGCAATGGGGGGAGGCGGGGAAACGCGCGGAGTGGGCTTGGGCTCCTCGGGGTTACGGCTGACTTGGGCAGCAGCAGTCGAGTCAAGGCTTGCACGCAACAACCGTTTCCTGACCAGCCGAGCTTTGTACTCGGGCAATCCTGGCACGATCTGCCTGGGGCGCTTTCGCTCGACGGGCCGCCTCCTTGACGAGCTCATCAACCATACAATTTCCTTCAATGAGCCAAACGGGCCACTCACGGACAGCGACCTCTTGCCCGTCTAAGTGCACTGAACTACGGATCTACAAGAAGCGTCCTTCTGTTGACTACAAAAGGGTCTTGGCAATGGATCTCCAGAAATCTGCCTGGGGCCCTGAGGGGGAGTGGAGCTGGCCTTCGTACCAGCCCCTCGCGACCTCTGCACAACCTGTAACGTACACAAGCGAGCCTACCGAAAACCTGGTGGCCCACGACAGGTCTTGGAGCTCCCCGCGAGGCACCGTTTGGCTGACCCCAACTAAAGGCCCGAGCAGGTGAGGCCCCAGGGCGATGGGCACAAAATAACTAAAACAATCAATGGCAAGTCCGATCCTACGAATGCGACTGTCATGAGTGCCGGCCCCCCCCGAGGCATCCCTGAATACGATAAGGGGCTCCTCGGGGGTACCCTCACCAAGACATGCTGGCCCGACGAGGCCTTCATTCAAAAGGCCATTGCCGCCCCAAGACTCGAGGGACGGAGGAGGAGTGACCGCGGTCCAAGGAGCAGGGATGAACCCCCTCATCCAAAAACATGAGTAGGCATCAGAGTTGGCGACCGCCTCTGGGAGCAGGGGCGCTGACTGGGCATCTGCTGGCGAGCTGCCATTCTTTTCAAAGTCCAAGAACGGTGCAGCGCCGTCTCGCGGTTGGTTTTGCAACGTTCACAAAAATCGCTCGCACATAAGTTAGCATCGAAACTCCGAGCCTTGGTCCAAAATCCGCCTGTGGCGATAGAAACCATAAGCTCCGACAGCTGACGACCACTCTTTGCCTGGGTGAGATCGCCCACAAACTTCCGATTGGAATACATGTCGACTCCGTCCTCAAGCCCTGCTCCACAATATAACTCTGCGGCCTGACGCCACTCCTTTAGCTCCATGGTGTGCTGCAGCTCGTCGAGCAGTGGGGATGCTTGGTCCAGGCTCGCGAACTCGGCGTCTCCGAATCTCCAGTAGAAGCCAGCTTGAGCACCGTCATTCGGCACATCCCACTCCACGGGCGATACTGGAGTCCACCCCGCTTCCAGCAGATACAGAACTATTGTGGACAGAGGACCTCGAACGTGTCGACTGCGCAGCTCAGGCTTGATGCTCATCAGATGTCTGACCGTCGCCTGCCACGCCAAGGTGATCGACGGCCTGAGCTGCGGCTCCTCCAACCAAACCGAAATCCATAATGAAACGCATTGGCGCGGAAGAAGCGCTCCTGGATCTGCGCCTGGCAGCCGCGTGGCCAGGAGCGTGGTGAGGCATCGCCCTCTCTTGGACGACCCCTTCCGCCGCTCCAAGGCGCCGCCGCTGCAGCTGCATGTTGGGCCCGAACGCGCCGTGGACCTGGGGGCCGTGCACCGCCGACGCCTGGAGGCCCGTGCGCTGTAGCTTGGCCGTGGCCGCCCACCGCCTGGCCACCTGGGCGAAGCGGCGAAGCTTGCCGTGAGCCAGGGCGGCATCGGTGGCTCTCCTGCGCACCGCGGCCCTGCCCTGGCGGCCCCCGGCATTCAGGTCCACCCCCAAGTGCGCCGACTGGAGCACCGCTGACAGCGATACGCCGCGCCTCCGAATCGTTTTAACGACTGCAACCGCGTCGCAATGATGTGAGCATTTGTACTATTGCAACCGCGCTCTTGGGGTAGATGCCCAGGCCTAGGCTTCTGAATCCCTTGGCGTTGGAAAGGGCCCCCTTGATGAGCGTGGTCCGAACGTGCTTCCTCGACCCTGCTTCCCGCTGCGAGAGGTCCGACATCGATGGGTGCATGGCGCAGAGTTCCCTGCGCGCGTGCGCGGTCGGGTACTTGGCGATCCGCGCGCCGCTCCTGAGCCCCTGCACGATGGAACATGTGGCCTAGAACGGCTCCGACACGGAATCTAGCTGCTGCAGAAGCCTCGGGACGAGGCACAGCTGCAGCTCCAAAAAGAGGATCACATGAGACAACCCTTTGTTGGCCGCGCACCGTGCCAGGGCCCCCACTCGATGCCGTCGTAGAAGGCCTCCACGTGCCCGTGGCCGATGTTGAGCCTCGGCTGAGACTCTACCTGCAGCGCCCTGACGAACGCCTCCTTCAAGGCGCCGTTGCCCGCGATCGCCGCGCCCCAGCCGTCGCCCTGCTGAGCCGACCACGAGGTCGCGCAAATCCTGAAGCCCCTTCTGCGGGAGCCGCTCAAAGTCGAGTGGCGACAAGCGGTCAACTCCAAGGCCTGCACGAGCCTTCATGCCCTGCAGCGCCGTCCTCAAGCCACTGACCGTGAGTGGCTCGAGCGTCTCAACCTCCGCGAGTGCCCTGACATCGTCGAAGGTGTTCATGATGCTGTTGTGCGTGGCTGGCCCTCTCCACTTGGCCTGCCACCTCTCCACTTTATCATCCGCAATGTCGATGGGGCGCACAAGGGCCCCTGTGTCAGCGTCGAGCTCGTCAGGCTCAGGGTCGCCGCCCTCGACGCCGCGGTGCACTTGCCCCATGCGTCGCTGCCGAACTGACCCAGTCCTGAAGCTCGCGCAACGAGGCCGCTGCCGCGCGACTCTGAGCGCGACGGGCAGCCCCGAAGCATTTCTCCTCCCAGTGAGCGAGCTGGTCCACCGCGAGGCCCCCCAGCCGCCGCATGTCGCCTTGGAGGGAGGTCCAGCGCCCTTGCGTCGACGGCGAAGCGGAGCCTGCTCCATCCAGCGGGTGATCCGCCAGGCGTTGTGCAGCCCCAGCCAGGGGCAGCACCTGGCTCTCGCCGTTGCGCCGCCTCCGATGTCGTAGCGCGCGTTGCACCGCCGTGCGCAGCCTGCTCCACCATCCTGCCGCGCCGTCCTTGAGCGGCTGACTCCTCGCGCGCTCAGCTTGGCGCGCGGGCGTCGCCTGCGCGCTGGAGCCTTCGCGCCGAGAGAGTCTGGAAGCCCCGGGGCCATGATGACTGGCGATGGTCTGCTCCACTGTGTCAATCCATCGCGCGAACTGTTACCGATGGAAAGGGCATGCCCCCCCCCCCCCCCTACTTGATGGGCGACAGATTGCTCAATCGGCGACCAAACGTCGGAGGAAGAGTGCGAGCGCCAGGGAACTCTAGCCGACATGCCCGCGCACTTGGAAAGTCGGGAGATAGAGCCGCAACAGCATCAGCAGGGGCGAGATTGTGCTGCCCCTCGGTCGTGCCGAGGCCCGTCTCCCCAGGGCCAGACGCAGGGGCTGCGTCTCCACCCAAACGTTCGCCAACTTCCGATCCCCCATCCAGAGGTCACGCAGTCATTCGAGCTCTGTTTTGCGGCACTACTATCAAACTGCTGCTGGTCGACACTACTGCGAGGCTGGAAAAGCTACTCGTCGGCCCAAGGATCTTCTTCCTCGACGCCGGAGTCCAGATCACCTCCAACAGAGTCAGGATACAAAACGGGACCCGACGCCTGCGGCACCTCAGGGTTGCCGGCCGCGGTCCCAGGATCCGAGAGGTGCGAAACATCGGGTCTTGATGGCCTGGACGCAGGACAAGCATCGGAAAAAAAGGTGTTCACATTCTGCTTTGATGCGCTCACGAGCTTGCTGCACTGTCTCCTGATGGGCGAGCTTGGCAGCACTACTGTTGGAGCCAGCAGTGGGGGAGGAAGAAAGACGGGGGACCTGGGGGAGGCGTGGGGCAACTTCCAGGGACCTCATCATTAATTGTTACCCAGTCCCTCTTAGGCGGATTTCTAGACCACAATGAGGGCTCCAGGGCACGTCGGTGACCGCTGACATGTTATGTATGTATGGACGGCAATTATCAGAAGCAACAACAAAATCGATATGTGATCCACCCGCACTCCCGACGCAGGTGAACTCTATATCAGCCCGCTTGGTATTTTTGGGACTCGCTTCAAAAATGCTGAGCGCTCGAACACACTGATGTCAATATTAAAGTCACCGACGATCAACCATGGTAACTGCACGCTCTGGATGACAGCACCTAGTTTGGCGAAGCGCTGCAAGTGTTCCCCTGCGAATCCGGCAGATGGATGAGCGCAGAAGATTATCGCGGTAATCGAAAAGCCTGCCATGTGCAGGACGACTGGTAGGACGCCGTCGAGGGCATCTGAGCCCTCCGCGCAAAAAAAATGGCACCGAAGATGCCTTCGGAATCACTCTGTGCGCGTGGCGATGGCACTGGCACGTGAAGAGCTCCCCGCCCTCGTTGGCCTTACCCACCGTGGCGGCCGAAGTCGCTCTCCCTGTGGCGCGGGCAGGGTTGTCAATGAACCTCCACTTCACCCGCCTGGCACTCCGCGCCCACTTCGAACGAGTGTGGCATCCAGCATGGGTCTCCGTCAAGGCAATGTACTGGTACTGCTTGGTGAAGGCTGGCATGCCGACGTGGTTCCAAGCTTTGGGGCCTAAGCAGGTCACGCTCGCGAAGAACATGCTGCGCAGGCTGGGCTCGTTTCCAGCGTCACCCACACCAGCTGCCGCCTCTTGCGGCTCGGCGGACGAGGTGGCCGCCGCTCCCTCGCCCGCCGCGCGGGCTCACGCGCCGCCCGCAGCGGCGACCTGCGGCACAGCGTCGGCACCTGCCTCCGCCCCCGCCGCCGCGGCCGCGCGCAGCCTGTCGATCTCAGCCTTGGTCTGCTCTTCGGAAGGGCTCCGCGCGCCGCCAGGCGCCTGCGCCGCGGCCGCAGATGCTGGGCCTGAGGGGGCCGCCGCCGCAGGGCCGCCTGGCGCCACAGCGGCTGGAGGAGGCGCTCCTCCTGCCGCCGCGGGCTGGCTGGCTCCTGGCGCTCCCGCGCCTGGCCCTGCGGCCCTCTGAGCAGCATCCTCGCCGTCGGCGCGCCGCTTCTTCGCCATGCGCTCCTGCGCCTGCTTGCGCAACTCTCTGGTTTTGTCCCGCCACTGCGAGACCTGCTCCGCCTTGGATTGCACGCTCTCCTTAGCGGCCTGCAACTCCTGCTCTATCTTCTTTAACTATGCCTTCTCCTCGGCGCTGCACTCGAGGTCGTCTATGTTGCCGAAGAAGCTTGTGTCCCAGGACAGGTCGATGAGCGGCACGCCAGGCGCTGCAGCAGGCTCTGGGGTGATCCCGGTGGCCTTCGCCAGCGCTGCCGCCGCGCTGCGCCTGCTGATCTCAGCTAGCGCCAGCGCGCGCGCCGTCTCCTCCTCGCGCTCACGAGCACGTTGAAGGTTGAGCGCACACCGCTCGACCTGCGCACGGGCTTGCTCCCACTTGGCGGAAGCGTCGCGCCAGGCACCAGACGCCAGGCGGACCGCCTCCTCGGCAGGCACGCTCTTGGACGAGGTCGCCGCCACGCGCGCCTGCCCAAGCTGCTGCTCCAGGATGACCTTCACCGAGGGGTCCTGCACGACCTTCAGGGCGGCCTCCAGCGTCGCGACGGCGTTGGGGGCAGCCCCCACAGCTCGTTGCAAGTTGGTGCCTCCCTGCTGCTCACCGCTCTTGTCCTTGCCCTTCGGCCTGAACAGCGTGAGCTTGATCCAGCACTTGCCACACTTCGCTCCCTGACTGGCGAGGATACGGTTCCACTCGCATTTCCCGCAGCCTGAGCACTTGGTCCAAGGGTCTGCCTCCGCTGTCGCACCACGGTGCTGCTGCTCAGCGGAGGCCTTCTTATTTCCCTTGCCGCCCATGGCTGCGTGCTGTAAGCGTCCCTTTGGCCAACCCGCGAAACTGACCGAAAGCGTGCTGAAAGTGAGACTGGTCAGTCGCGGGTGCCACTAACTAAAGCATCACGTATGAGGCGGACGCCTTTGCCCCGGCAAAATGCTCGGGCCAAAGTGGCCTGAGAGGGGGAGGAGGAGGAGGAGGAGGAGGAGGAGGAGGAGGAGGAGGAGGAGGAGGAGGGACAAGGGAGCAGGGCGAGGAGGAGGAGGAGCGAGGACAGGGGGCGGAACGGACAAGGACGGAGACGCTGGACGACCACCCCCCCCGGCGCACAAGCGGCGAGAAACTCCAGGTTCGGAGTCGATGCTTCCAGATCTGCACGGGCCGCCCGTGTGTATACATGTTTATACATTCGCATACATCACAGGCCTTGTGATCGTCGCGGTTAATATTCCGCCCCTCTTCTTGGTACGATGGTCGTGTGAAAGCGGTTGTTGTGTGAGCGATTTTTTCTAGTGGTAGAGGTGAACAGTCGGCCGTAGATGGCATACGTCGTTGTTGAACCTCCCGGCACAAGGACATCCCTGCGCTCTTTTCTTGCAGTTGTGGCCACGGCGTTGGTCTTGGTCGCCCAGTGCAATCTGGTCATGACTCGGTCTCCTCATTGTCAGAGATTGGCGTTTCATATTTCCAGGCATGTTCGCGGTGGAGCAAGTGTACACGGGTATGATTTCCAGCGGTTACGTGTTAAGGATTGTGTTGCAATTTGCGTAGTTGGTTGCAGTGTCGTGCAGTCGGTATGTCGTCTGCGTTGCCGATTTCAGGGGAGACGTCGTGGGGCCCATTCAGCTCGCCACAGCCAATGATGCAGGGAAGGTGTTCGGGGTTCCATTGTAGAGCAGCGTGTGTGTTTATGTCTAGATAGAGGGAGATTATACGATGTATATATACATATATATATATATATATATATACAGCGGCAGTTCCCTTCCGGCATTAGTTTCTGCTTCCCCCTTGGGGATGTGCGTTGTCGTTTCGCCGCATCGTCTTCCTCCCCCTTCCCCCCTTCAAAGTCCATCTTCTTCGCTTCCTCCTCCGCTTCCTCCTCTCCTCCTCCTCCTCCTCCTCATCCTCATCCTCATCCTCATCCTACTCCTCGTCCTCCTCCTCCTCCTACTCCTCCTCCCTCTCCTCCCTCCTCCCTCCCTCTCTCCCTCCTCCTCGTCCTCCTCCTCCTCCTCGTCCTCCCCCTCCTCGTATTCCTCCACTTCGAGAGTCCACTGGGCGCGGTAGGGCGCCACCCAAGGCAACACGAGACCAGCCACCTTCCCCCCAAGGAGTGGCGCTCGGCGGGGGACCTGGAGGCGGGGGCCTTGCGCAGACGCCCTGTCCGCTGCGAGTTGACTACCACAAAAGTGCATAAACCGAATTCCCGGATGCAGGAGCAGGATTGTCACCCTTCTCCTCCTCCCACCTCTCCTCCTCCACCTCCTCATCCTCATCCTCCTCCCGCCTTCCCCACCTCCCGCCGTTCTCCCTGAGAGGAACAAAGAATGGCATAACCAGACTTTCTTGGAGCTCCGCGCAAGTTTCTTGGATCGGCGCTGGGCCCCCCTGGCGTCGCTTCTGGCACCGCTTCCGAGGCTTTCGCGCGCCAGGGTGGGGCCCAGCGCCGATCCAAGAAATCTGCGCAGACCTCCAAGAAGATATGCTTCTGCCAGTCTTCGTTCTTTTCGAGAAGGCGGACGGCGGGAAGTGGGGAAGGCGGGAGGAGAATGAGGATGAGGTGGTGGCGGAGGAGAGGTGGGAGGAGGAGAAGGGTGACAATCCGGCTCCTTGGGGGTGGAGGCGGAGGAGAAGGCGTCAGGAAAGAGGAGGGGGCGGAGGACGAGGATGAGGAAAACGAGCTGTCGCCTGCTGTCTTTTTCAGCGAGCGCTGTGCGCAATCATTGATCACTGTGCAGCTGGTTAGAATAGGTGAGATGGTTGTAAGTCGCATGACGGATGACCATGCGATTGAATTTATCCGTTCATTTTGTCATTTCACCTGCCCGCGGTGCCTCTATGGATGTTGCGACTCGATGTTTAATCGGAGGAGTGCTAGCGTCGCCACCCTCCAGCTTTGTTGCCGAATGGTGTTTCGATTCGGGCTCTAATCGGGGTTTACAAGGATCCAGGATCTCTCACATAGTCAGTGGAACATTTTGCCAGGGAGATCTCGTGGCCAGACCGCGGCGACCGCGACGGCCAGGGCGACCGCGACAACGACGACGACGACGCCAGCGGCGACAACGAGGGTGACGGCGACGACGGCAACGACGACGGCGCTGGCGAAGGCGCCGACGACGACGCCAGCGACAGAGGCGGTAAATGGGGGGGCAGCGAGGGCTGCAGAAAAGTTGCCCTTCAGGGCCCAAAAAGGGGGAGGGCTTTTAGGGCCCGAGAGTGCACCTGTCTCTCCCCCCTCGATTTGCCGCCCCCCCCCATTACAGTGGAGACCCATGCCAAGAAACACCTGGCTTGCCTACAGGGTGCCCTGGGTCTCTTGGGTTTGGATGGTTTTGCTATGCAACGCGTGACGTTCCCACATCAAAGACCGATGGACGCCCTGTGGTCTCAGGATTGGGTTTCTTGTGGCAGGTTTCTTGTGGTCGGGCCCCTACTGTATGCGACGGAACACGTTTGTTTCTGCTAGAGCTGCCGGAAGGCCCCCGCTCGGCAAAAGCTCGGTGCGCTGGAGCGCACACCGTGGGCTGCTGGAGCGCTCGCGCTCGAAGAACAGAGCAGTGCTGGAGCACACCCGTGCTTTCGGCAGGGGCTGCTGGAGCGTCGTCGACTTGAAGAGAACATACAATGACATGAACATAAAACCTCGGAGGTCCGCCGGGATTTCTCGGATCGGTGATGGAGCCCCCCAGCGGCGCCTCCGGCGCCGCCCCTGGCGCGCTGATCCGAGAAATCCCCGCGAACCTCCGAGTTCTATGTTTATGTCATTGTTTGTTCCCCACTTATATAACAAATCTGGCGCTGGCGCGACTTTCCAGTTCAGGTTTACAAGTATACGCAGGTAATGGGGAAGGGCAGCGTGCGGCGGCTGCGGATGCTAGCAGTTTGCCCACGCCTCGTTTTCTACTACTGACGCAGCGCGCATCAATGCGCGAAGATCGCCCCAGAGATAACACATGCGCTTCCGCTCAAAATGCTCCAGCAGCAACGGTATTCCACCGACTGCAGGGGGGTCCAGCGGCTGCGGTTGCGCTACCAGTACCTTGCCGGCACCCTGCCCCGACGTGTCTTACAGTTGAGTAGGATGCGGTCGGACCGAGGTATAAGATCGCTTGCGGTTCGGGGAGGGTGCCCACATGCTCTTTGTGTTTTCTGCATGTTATTGTGCATCCTTGGGAGGGTACCTTTGGATGTTCTGTGTGTTCTGGCTGGCGGAGGGTCTCATGTTTTTGCAGGACGTGTTTTTCTGTCTTGAGTCTGACCTTACCTCTTGTTTTGAATCCGATCATACAAACTACACCTGCTTGCCAGCGTGGACCACAACAAGTAAGCGTTTAGCAATATATGTGTAAATATATATAGGTTGTGCAACCGACGTGGTGCAATCGATGTGGTGCAGTTGATTTTTTACCCATGTGTTGACACATCCCATGCTCTTGCAAACGTCCTACCCACCCACCCGCAACTTGGTTTGCAAAACCCATGCAGTGGCGATTGCGATGCATGCTTGGCGTTGGCTGGTGCATCTTTGCGGCCGTGCCAACCATAGCACGCGCGCGCAGCGGCCAGGTAGTTCGGCGCCACCGACTCGGCCGCGGTGGCGCTGACCGCTGGGCACATCCCAGCGGGCACTTCAGTACGAGTCGGCGACTTGGACGGGCGCGGTATCATGGCAACGCCGAGTACGGTAGACACGATGATGATAGTGGCGATGCTGGCGACGATGCTCGCACCGACGAAGGCGCGGCCAGTGCGGGCGCCAATGCTGATCACGCCGACGACGATGACGGCGCCCTCGCGTCGGCGATGAACGTTTTGGGAAGACTTCGGCATTCGCGCGCGGCCGACGCGCGAGAGTGGCCCGCATGGTTCTATGTGACGCAGATCGTGCCCCCCCCCCCTCCAGCACGCGCGCAAGGGCGTGCGAATGATGTCGGCATGCGGCGCCAGAGGCCCGTTTGGCAGAATTTCATCAAGCTGTTGCACAGTTTGTGGTTTTCTCAGGAATTCGCAAAAGCGCGCGCGCAAACTTTTTTTGAACACTGATGTTGCGACCCCCCTGTTTTTATATGTTTTTTTTGCACATTAGGTTTTGAAGCCGGTGCGAAAACGAAGGTTGTTGAAGGATTCCGGCATGCGCGCGCGACGACGCGCGCTTGTGCACTTCGTTCTCTCTTTTTTTTTGCAAAAGGGTTCCCGCGACGGCACGCGCGCGAAACGCGTTTGGTAGGTTTTCGTTGTTTGGAACATGTTGAAAAACCTACGGTTGCTTTAAAATTCGCAAGGGCGCGCGCGCACGTTTTTTTGCTTTTGTTTGGAAATCCGCGTTGCGAAACCATGTGTTTGCTCTTTCGGAAAAATGTCGTTCGGACACTACATTTTAACATCCTTTCGAAACCGACGGTTTTTGAAGGATTTCGACATGCTCGCGCGACGGTGCGCTCGTGTGCACGTCGCCAGTCTGATTTGCAAGGGATTTGGGAAATAGGTGATTTTTGATAAACGAGTGTGCGCGCATAGTCTGTTTGGAAGAGGATGGCGGGGGGGATCGATACCGGCTTGGCTGGGATGGCACGGGTTCGTAGTTAGGATGGACGGTGGGGCAGAATCATACGTAAGTTGTAATGCGAAAGTGCTGACCGATAAAGCCAGGGGGGGGAATCTTTTAATTCTTTTCCAGAAGGGTGAATTGACCACCCTGCACCGCGTTTGACTACCTCCACTGCTCGGGCAATCGTGCCACCCACTCACACGCTTTTTGGTTTACAAAACCCATGCGGTGGCGATTGAGATGAGTGCTTGGCGTTGGCTCGTTTTTTTTTTGTTACGCGGATGCGCCGACCCAAATACGCGCGCGTAACGCCCAACTAGTTCGGCGCGACCAGCGCGGCCGCGGTGGCGCTGACCGCTGTGCACATCCCAGCGGGCATTTCAGTACGAGTCGGCGACTTAGGCCTTAGGCGGGTGCGGTATCATGGCAACGCCGACAACGGTAGACACGATGATGATAGTGGCGATGCTGGTGACTATGTTGACAGGACGACGGCGCGGCCAGTGCGGGCGCCGATGCTGATCACGCCGACGACGATGACGGCGCCGTCGCGTCGGTGATCCAGGTTTTTGGAAAAGGTTTCGAAACGCGCGCGCGGCCGACGCGCGAAAGTGGCCCGCGCGGTATCCTTTTACACGGAGTGTGCCCCCCCCCCCCACCGGCGCGCGCAAGGGCGCGCGAATGTTGTCGGCATGCGGCGCCAGCGGCCCGTTTGGCAGAATTCCATGAATACGTTGAGTCGTCGTAAGAGCTCGCAAGAGCGCGAGCGCATGATTTGTTGGACAACTGATTTTGCGAAACCATGCGTTTTTATATGTTGTTTGGACAGTCGGTTTTGGCGTTGCTACGAGACCGAAGGGTTTTGACTGAATTGGGCATGCGGGCGCGACGACGCGCGAGCACATTTCGTTTCATTTGTTGCAAAGGGTTCTCGCGACGGCACGCGCGCGAGGGCGTTCGAACGATTTCGACATGCGCGCGCCGGAAGCCAGTCTTTCAGAATGTTTTGAAAATGTTGGCAACCAATATTTTCTTAAGAATTTGCAAGAACGCGCGCGCAAAATTGTTTTGAAGACCCGTGTTACGAAACCTGGTGTTTTTTTTCCATATAGGTTTTTTGTTGACACTCGATTTTGACATCCGTCCGAGACCGAAGGTTTTGGAAGGATATCGGCATGCGCGCGCGACGACGCGCGCGTGCGCACTTGGTTTCATTTTTCGCAAGAGGTTCTTGGCAACGTATGCTTTGTGATCAACGAGTTCGCGCGCATAGTTTTTTGTTGCAGAAAGGGGGGGGGGCGATACCGGTTTCCGGGATGCATTTTTCTGATGGGCGATGCAGCAAAAGCATTTGCAAACTGCAGTACGAAAAGGGGAGGCAATAATTTGGGGGGGTAGGGTCTCTTGTCTTTTTTCGAAAAGAGAATCTATGTGGTGCACCCTTATGTGGTGCAACTTCTGTTGCGCAGTATATGTGGTGCAACGTATGTTGTGCCATATATGTGGTGCAATCTATATAGGGCAATTCACTTCGGCTGTCTTGAAGCTGTCCTCTCCACCGCTCGTGCAATCATCCCACCCTCCCAC